TCTCTCTCTCTCTCTCTCTCTCTCTCTCTCTCTCTCTCTCTCTCATTGTACTGATGGCTAAGGACTCGCCATGTGTGTGTGTGTGTGCGTGCGTGCGTGCATGTGTGTGTGTGCATATGTGTGCGTGTGTGCATGTGTGTGTGTGTGCGTGCGTGCTTGAGTGTGTGTGTGCGTGCATGCGTGTGTGTGTGTAGGGCAAAGTCCAAGTAGCGTGGAAGTCGGGCGTCGAGTCCAAAGGGAAAAAAACATCTTGTGCCTGCCTTCCTCACCCCCCCTACCGATCACGGAGAGAGAAAGAGAGAGAAAGTTTGTGCGTGTGTGTGTGTAGAGCGAAGTCCAAGTAGCATGGAAGTCGAGCGTCGAGCCCAAAGGGGGAAAACATGTCACGCGCCCCTTCCGCACCCTACCGATCACAGAGAGAGAGAGAGAGAAAAGGGGAAAAAACATGTCGTGCCCCCTTCCTCACCCCCCCTACCGATCACAGAGAGAGAGAGAGAGTGAGTAGTGAAGATCAGCGCAGAGAGTCAAAGTCAAGCGCAGCAGCGTAGTGTAGTGACGCTGAGAGTCAAAGTCGAGAGCAGTAGCGTAGAGTAGCATCGTAGAGAAGTCGAGCGCAGTAGCGTAGAGTAGCGTCGTAGAGAGTCAAAGTCGAGTTAGTCGCATCGAAGTTATGCATTGAAGTCATGCATAGGCATGCATAGGCATGTGTAGGCAGCCGTCAACCGGAATAGTCGTTTGGCTGCCTTCCCCAAAAAAGTTTGTTAAGTGCCCTGCGCGTAGTGCCCTGCGCGTAGTGCCCTGGGGAGTGCGAATTTGTGGCCACCTCCCTAAAAGTAGTAGTCACAAACCCCAGGGCTTCCGGCGAAGCGCGGCACTACCGGGGCTGGGGAGTTGGAATTTGTGCAGGGCTGGTAGGCCCCGGCCTCGTAGTACCCGCGCCGCACTACCGGGCCAGGGCCTACTGGCCCAGCTATCATCTCGAAAACGATCAACACGCAATCTGGGCCGTGCGGTACAACGCCGCCGACGGTCCAGATCACGAGTTGATGACATTGAAAACCATCAGCAGCCAATCTGGACCATCGCGCGCCAAGGAAACTGAGGGCCCAGATCGGCTGCTGGTCACAGGCCGCCAAATAGCAATTGTTATATATGTTAGTGGTTGTTTGAATGAGAGAAGAGATAAGGAGTAGTTGGGTGGCGAAGAAGGTGGGAATTACCATTGGTCTTTTGCTGGTGTGCATCTTCTTCTTCTTCTTCTTCTTCTTCTTCTTTATCTCTCCCTCCCCTCTAGGTCATTCATTTCTTTCTGCAACTGGACGGCATTGTACTTTCTTGTGAATTTGCACTTTGAAATTGGTC